TCTGCCATTCAAACATTGTAATTTGAGTAGCACGTTATTTTTGAGGGAAACAGGAACCTACCATTTGGGGGGAGGCAGAACCCCTGGAACAGAAGAGAAACCACCAGTTTTGAGGCAATTTGTTCCATGGTTGTCAAACATAAGGTACCCTCCCACCAGTTTACCCTCCCACCAGTTAACATGGAGCCTGACAAGGATCCGGTCCCTTTCAAAACACACTTGGTCTTCCAGGATCGCAGAACGTTTGGTTCTCTGTTAATTGGTGGAAGGGTGATCCCAAAATGTGTTTCCCTGGTAAATGGAAACCAGGCCGATTTAGCCTGCCGTCTAAATCCTGGTGGTTCAATTTTAACCCATACACATGTAACTTTTGGAAAGACAGCTTGACCGCTTTAGAGAGCCCCTTTTGTGCGTGTGAGCTAAGGACTAGGGATGTTTTTTGGGTAGAGCATCCAAATGCCAGTAGTTTAGGGTCACAACAGATCCGGGCAATCACGAGGGTCACATAATTTGACTCTGCGTTTGATTGGTGTGAAACTGTACCAATCACAGAAACTGCCTATGTTATAGCGAGCTCACCGATCGGGGGTAGAGCGAGCTCACCATGATAACGATGCTTTACCTGTCTTAAATATGCCTGAATTGTGTTTCCATGAAACCACTAAAATACTACTAGCAGGGGAGCAGAAAGCAACCGAGCTATGCATGCATAACCAGTGTAGCAGGTTCATCGCACGGATATTGTGCTTGAACATGTGTCCAACCGGCCTCTTGCCCTGTCCTGCTGTTTTTCAATCATGTCGCCTCGGCGCGTCCAATGGCGAGGTCTATCCAAGCCAGCCAGTCGTGATGTGCAAGGCACCGGCATCGTAGTCTCCGATGTCTGTCTTCGCATAGGGGCGGGTCTTCTTTGTTTTTTTTCTCGGGGGCCCATGTTGGTTGGTTTGCACGGAAACTAAAGGGAAAGCAACCATTCTGCTGTTCCCACAGAGAAGACACACCCGTATCTGAGCAACACCTCAACTGCAGACGTGATGGCACGGGGCACACTCACCAAAGTGCCGTGAGGGAAATGAGAGTTGCTCGCAAAACTCCGTTGTCAGTGAGGAACACCATAAATTCCGAACCTGGCTCATATGATGTGTGTGTGTGTGCATAGGTTTTTGCTAGCGGGTGTGCGGGTGTTTGTGTGTGTATGCGTGGGCGTTTGTGCTTGTGCGTTTGCATGTTGTGTGTGTGTGTATGTGTGTGTGTGCTTGTGTGCTGTGTGTATGGGTGTGTGTTTTTGAGGGTGCGCTGGTTTCTAGGTCAACTAAACCGCTGAAAACCATTTGGGAGATTCCCCTATGGTTGGCTTAGTGACTTTGCGAGGCGAGGCCACTTGTATCCTGCTCGTTGCATCTGCTGTTTCTTGTTTGTCCATTGAGATTGCTTCCCTTGACAAGATGACTGAGATGAGTGCACGTGTTTGCAAGTGTATTTGATTCCATTGTTCTGTGACTGCGTGACAGTTTTTGTTTATGGCCACAGTTCATCCGTGTGGCTGTCGGTACACATTGTTAAGCGTGGCTTGCGTTTGTCGAGCAGCGGCGATGTTGTGTGTAAATCCAAATGCAGAGCCACGTCAAATTCCATTTACATATTTTTTAACTGAGCAACGCACAACAGCATATCATTGGGGGCGATGCTCTGCTGATGTTAATTCGCCAATGCAATTGGAGCGTCGCCCGTCAACAAGGCGAGCCAATTGGCAGGTCAACTGTGCATGGAGCCATGGTGTCGCTTTGCACGAACCGAGTGGGGCCTGCTACTCGTCTATTCAAGAAACAGCACCATTTATTTGATGATCGTGGTGTTGTCTTTGCCGACTAAATGCGGATTAGCCCATCAACTTTGGTTAGACATGTGAAGAAGAAAGATGCTTAATTGATCACGCCGCTTTCTGAGTTGGGCGGAGAACAGTCCACCAGAGCACCGTACTCGTCAACTTTAGCACCTGCCATGAAGGGTTCACACACTGACACCTGAAAGACGGGATGGGCTAAGTTTTGATGGGTGTGTCTGTTTTTGAGGGTCCTTCTTTTGATGTGGTCCAAAAGGGGAAATCAAAGGGAACCACCGTTGTTGATTGTGCGGTTACCCCCCCCCATTTTGAGGCAGGCGGTGACATCAAGACCGCATTCAGCTCTGAACGCAAGCAATGCTGATCTTCATTGATGCCCTTCGTTCTCTTACGGCTCCTTCTCCCGAGCAAGTGGTTTGCAGAACGGCCAGATCATGTGACTTTTTTTTTTTTGAAAGATACATGTTGGATCCTGTCGCGCACAAGTATTTCTCCTATGCAGCGGATATGGCTGTGGGGTACCATTTTGGGGTAGGTGCACCACCCATGCTAGTCTATTTTAGTGGGGATTGGGATGTTCACTGGGGGTACGGGATTTTGACCCATAGCCATATGTTGATCTGCCTTTGGAAGATCCATCCGCATTCGAGAGAAGGCCCCTGCGATCCGCCACAGTTTTCCTGCGCATGTGTTGGCTTTGGCTCTGGGCCAGGGGCCACTAGGGCCATAAACGACGTGCTGCTGCAAGAGAAGGTTGAGACGGTGGAGAGCGTTGAGAGGACCGGGAGTTGACAACGGCGTCTTTTGGGCAGGGGGCCGTCTCACGGGGTCTAACACACAGGTTCCGATCGCGTGCGCCTAAGCACAATCAGGCGTGTAGCAGCCTACGACCCATTTGATACAACCCCATGTAGGTTCGCCCAATTCGAGCATGCTCCTAGCAATTTGGCCAGACAACAAGGAATGACCAACCCACATTGGATTTTTTGTGTTGCATTGTCCGGTCTTCGGAGCACCCCATCAAACAAAGCACTCTCAGATCAACCCAGAAGACAAAGATCAAGGCGCTTTTTTAAGGTAAAAAACAACGATGGTGTTTCTTCCGGTCAAAGATCAAGATCCAGTGCTTTTCAATGAGGAAAGTTGTACCCCAAAGGTCAAACCCTGACAAAAGCGGGGAAGAAAAAAAAACTGGCGCTTCGGGTCCTGAAGGCGCGGGGAATCAATCCGCGGGGCCCGGGGGTGTTGTCCGGTGGGTGTCCTGAAAACTTGGGCGGAACCTCCATGGCGCCCGAGTCCGTCGTGTCGCAGAATGCATTCGCGAATCCCACATCACTCGAGTCCTCGAGTCCCTAAGAGTTAAGACAAATCTGGACAGAAAGATGTGATCTGATCGTATTTCATACGGACATACACCATTCCAAGCGTGCAGTTTGTATTGTTTTCTCCAGGGAGCCCAAGACTGTACATAGGGTTTTTGACCCAGAAAGATCTAAACACAAAAAGGTTGGGAGTCGCTGGGGGCCTTTTTTGGCTGGGACGAAGAGGGAGGCGCTGACGCATCTCTAAGGGTTGGTGGCTTGAGCTTTGCCGACCTGGAGCCAGACTAAGCCATGCCTTGGCTGGTTGCAGCCATGTGCAACCTTTGAACTGAACCAACCAAAGGATGCCCTGGTTTCGCATGGAAATCTACTTCCGATTTAAGCTTAACAAAAGGATGCCCTGATTTGTCCCAAAAGCCACTGGCGTCTGAGCTGTACTGCTGCTGATTTTGCTCACACCCAGCTTTCTTTCCTACTGGCTGCGGAGTGTGGGGAGTGTCACGAATTACAGGGCCAAGAAGTGCACTTTCTAAGTGAAGCATGGAGAGGTCGCTGACTGCTGAAGACCCACGAGCAAACCGCTGTTGAGAAAGCGAACGACTCCGATATGAAAACCAGAACCCTTTTCGTGGTTGAAGGTTCAGGGGGATCTTAGTGATCTTTTTTTTTTAATATATTTGTTTCCCTGGATTCCCCCTTTGTACCGTAGTTTTGCTTGTGCCTTGGCTGTATCCTGGCGTAGATGCACATTTATCTAACACACCTCATAAGCTATTTTGGGGGATCTCGTTCGTCTAGGGCTACCTTCCCCATTCTTTCCAGGGATCCTTCTTTTCAGGAAACCATCCAAATTTCCAGGGAAACAGATCCGGTTTTTGAAAAGCACGATGGTTGAAAATAATGGAAAAGGAATCAACCCCTAGAATTCGTAGTTCTGTACATCCTCTCAGCGCGCTTGAGAAATCCAAGCCCCTGAGGAGCAGTGAGGAGGCGGATCAGAGTGCCTGCCCAAGGGGCATTGGGCTTGGGGTTGGCGCAAGGTGAAGCCTCCGTCCAAGCTGTGGTGCATTTTGCAGACGGATGTTTGGACTTTAACTTTTTGCCAACTCATTTATTTTCATTAAACCACTAAAAGTTAAGCTTTTAGAGGGGAGCAGAAAGCAACCGAGCAAGGGGTTCCTCAAAAATTGCGCCCGGGATTGGCCTGCCAGTTGGTAGTTGATGCGTCGCCTGGCATCTTCATTGCATTTTCTTTTGCTGGCGAGGGACATATGAGAAATCAGGCTGGCACGCGGTGACCTTATTTGTTACTGAGCGCTCTGAGCGACAGGATCCTACCACCTGCTCAAGATTTGAAATCGAAGGGTTGCTTGATTTGCCGGCTGGTCTGAAATTGCCACACCAATAGAGGTCTTGAACACAGACAAACGAGAACAAGCAAGAAAGCGCAAACGCCTTCCCAAAAAGTGGCCCCAAACACATGGGCTGAAAAAAATACCCCGCGCCTTTTCGTTATGTAAGGGGCCGTCCCTTAACTTGTTTCGCAGGCCAAAACCATTGTAAACCGATACAGAGGAAAAAAAACCGATACCCCCAGAAGCCATGAAGGCACACATCAGGTCCTAGTTGTTGTCGCAAACCAAGATTGCGGAATCATAAATTTGCAGGGCCCAAACCGATACCCAAACCGATACCCAACCGATACCCAACTCATTGGCCGCCATGCCGAATCCAACCAGCTGCCCTGCAGCCTTCTCTGGAGCTGCCAACATGTACTTTGTGTACTACATTTGTACTGAAAAGTTGCGACTGCCGCTGTGGAGCTGCCAAAATGTACTTCGTATACTACACCATACTACACTTGCTTGCACTGAAAAGCTGCGACTTTCGAGCCGGAGCTGCCAAAGTGTCCTGCGCATACTACTGAAAAGTTGCTACTTTCCAGCTGGAGCTGCCAAAATGTACTTTGTGTACTACACTTGTACTGAAAGTTGCGATTTCCAGCTGGGGCTGGGAGCTGGCAGAGTGTACTTCGCATACTACACTTGTACGGAAAAGTCGCGACTTTCGAGCCAGAGCTGCCAAAACACTGCAAACCGATGCAGAGGAAAAAAAACCGATACTGACCGATACTGAGGCATAAGGATACAAGGGTTGTCCACGGGGTTTTTTTTTCAACCCACATGTTCTTTGGTCGTGTTTTTTGCTCGACTGCGAAGCAAATCCCCTTTTTTGCAGGTTCATAGATTTGTTGTTTCCACTGAACGTATTGTGGGGATCGGCTTGCGGTTAGCTTTCCAGAGATTGGGTTCTGGGGATTCGGGGGTTGCTGTTGGATCCCCTGGAATCCTTCGCGGGTCAAATGACTCCGATGGCAAAGGCGTGGGTTTTTGGAGGCGTTTCGGGATGTAGATGTTGGACATGTCTGCGTCCTGCGATTTGTTGTTTACGGGGCGCCTTTTTTTGGTGGGGAAACTAAGGGGAAATCAGGCTTTAGGGGGCTTGCCCCTCCCGACATGTTGCGCAGGGTTGGCCGGAGTTGCTCGCATCCAAGGCGTCGAGGAGGACTCGAAGTGGAGCTTGCTCGTGTGCCTTGGACAGGTTCCACGGGCTTCGAATGGGGGACTTGGCGGGTTCCCGTTGGACAGGAGGGTTCACAAAGAAACCCCAGCCCCATTTTCCATATGACAGGTTTGACGTTCATTCCATCCAACTCGGGATCGGATGAGGCGTAAATCAGATCTCTACAGTTGCATTTGCGTGCTCGACGTGCCAGGCGAAGATTCTGGGTCTTGATGCTTCTTAGTGCCGAAAGAGCCCCTAAAAAAACTATTTGGTTGCTATGACTCTTCTTGCTATGGCTCGAAGACTGTTGGTTGGTCTAGCTGTACCAAGCTACCAGGCCCTGGTTCTTTGTTTTAGATCAACGTATGGATCATTGGGATCATCTACGCTGCTTCCTCAAACCACTCAAACCTAGTATTTGTTTATGTCAACCCGACCCTTAGATGTGGATCATTTCCCTTTACAACAGTTGATGGCCTGGGTGTTTAAGTCAAAATGTTTTCACCCTAGCCAAGCTGTGGTCTGTTTGGCAGCGAAAGCAAATCACGCTGCATTGCATCACATTTGAGTATCTTGAGGCTACCTTTTTGGATACGAATGAAAGGAAATTCAACAGGACAACCATTTAGGAGTCCCCTATTTTGACACATCCCGCAAAACCCTGAAGTGCAGACTTTGGGGTTTTGGTTCCAGAACCAAAAGTCAATAGGTTTCGGTCTCACATGACCTGTTTGGATACAGGGCTTCAGTCACGTGTTTCATGTTATAAGTCCCTTCTCTGCCTCTGAGGTTTGCATTGTTCCTGTCTTACGCACTCTGTGACTTGGACAAGGCTGGGTTTGACTGGGTCTGTGAGTCTGGGGCTTGCTTCGCATTGAAGGGACCTCTTCACTTTTCCATTTTCTTGAAATGGGCATGGGTCAAAATTAAACCACCATGAAAACCGCAGTTTTGGTCCATGTTTCCACTTACTAGGGTTCAATTTGGGGTACCTATTTTTGACCCACAGCCAAATTATGTGTTTTCCATCTTGGTGTTGAATGGAATCCATTACTTGTTCATCTGTTCCAGGGGGCTCAAGCACATGGAGGTCATTCACTTATGAACAGGCCATCGTGACAGGCCTTTCTCTTGAACAAATCGCGCCCGGCATTGTTGCCGAAATGTTGTTTTAAGACAGGAATACACTCCCTCAGACTAACATGGAAGCTTCCAGGACCCCTTGGGAAGACTTGGTTCCATTTATAGAGGCCTTCTGGCAGCTTCCATGTTGAGCTGAGGGAGTGTACGCCTGGGTCCACAATTTCCACGGAGCCTCTCAAGAGGCGAGAGCGCACTATCAGACAGAAGTGGCCACCTTGCGGGTAGCAAGCCAGTGCCTGCCAGCCACATCTTGTGAATGCCAGGAGGGCGTGGCTTTACATGCGTTTAAATTGCAATGTGGCTGTGGTTGTCAAAACCAATGGGATCCCGTTTTGGGGTAGGTGCACCACCCATTTTGGGGGTACGATATTTTGACCCATGGCCACGTGGGGGTGTCTCAAAGTTCGGCATCTCCGCATTCCATTGCCCCAATGATGTCGCAACGTCGTTGGAAAGTGCCTTCGTCCAGCGGTGTTTCTTTTCTTTAGAGGGTGCGGGTGAAAGGGGCATCTTGCATTTTTCTAGGTATACCTTCCCCATTCTTTCCAGGGATCCTTCTTTTCAGGAAACCATCAAAAACCCAGTGCCAGGTTGGAGACAGATCCGGTATTTGAAAAGAACGATGGTTGAAAAGAATGGAAAAGGAATCAACCTCTAGAATTCGTTATTCTGTTCATTGTCTCAGCTTTCTTGGGCTAGCGCTTGAGAAGTCCAAGCCGAGGAGCTGTGAGGAGGCGAATCAACATCTAGAATTTTACCTAGACAGGGCCATCACTCGCGTTCGATTTCTTTCTGCGGATCTCGCATGCGATTCTCGAAGGTCGATGTTTTATTTTTCTCGCCAATTCGAGGCCATTGCTATCGGCTGTCAGCTTGAGATATCTCAAACAATCCAATAATCTGTTTATTTACACCCAATGTTTTACACCCAATGTGCTACACCCAATGTTTACACATTGTTTTTTGCACCCAGAAAGTTACTTTGTTGATCATCCTTTCACAATTAAGCAACCACTGTTTTGCAACCAATGTTTTCGCTCATGTCCCCCGTATGTTGCCCTATGAGGCAATGTGTACCTTATTCAAGTAAGACTCCAAATGGTTCATGTTCTAATCATATGCAGCTGCTCAAAGTTGAGACAAGCCAACGCCCCATGCAGAGGAAAAACAGCCAGTCAGAGACGGCCTTCGATACCCAGGTACGAATAGCGAGGTGTATATGTGTTCATATGCACATGTTGACTCTTGTATTTGCGAGATAAATAAATAAATAAATGTATATGTAGATATGTGGATATTCTCCATGCACTAGCAGAGAGGTATATTCGTGCTTACAATCTTGTTTGCCTGCAACATGCAGGTGATATATCGGCATTCCCAAGTAGTTGTAGGCATGCACATGTAAGTACATATATATATATATAATATTTCGACCCGTGCATGCAAGCCAAAGCATCCCATTTCAGCATAAGCACGGCAGGGCCAGCGTTTACCTTCAGCACATCTATTAAACAATGCATCGAGTTTCGGAAGCCTTGCAGCCATGGAACCTGGGTCAGACGGGTGACGCACCCGGACCGATGTCTGTGCGTTTGCCCAGTGGCAAGGAGGTGATGACCGAGGAGGAGCTCACTGCTTTGGTCACCTGTTGGGAGAGCGAGAAAGAAACGGCGCTGCGTGACTGCCTGAGGCGTGGCCTGGCCGAGCGGCTGCAGGTGCGCAACTTCCGGCAGCTTGCGCTCGTCTGCGGGGAGCGCATGCTGGAGGAGCGAATTCTTGTCGCGCCTCTGGTGGTTGTGGTGCGGCAGTGCCTGCCGGCCACTGCGGAGTTGGTCCGGGCAGCGGGTGAAGGCGACCTTCAGAAAGTCGTGGACCTCTTGGAGCAGCCTCTGGACCCCGAGGGAAAGGCCCACTGGGCATTACACGAGGCGGCGAAAGAGGGACATGTGGCCGTGGTGCAATGCTTGCTGGATGCTGGGGCCCACATAGACCAAGAAAATGACCGGGGGCAGACTGCCTTGCATTGCGCGGCCAGAAATGGCCAGACGCAAGTGGCAGTTGCTTTGCTGAATGCGGGGGCTGACAAGGATACGGCCAACGTGCGAGGGCATACACCCTTACATAGTGCTGCTGCAGTTGGCCACCTGGATGTTGTCGATTGCCTGCTGAAAGCTGGGGCTGACAAGGACAAGGTCGACAACGCGTGTCGTACGGTGATACACATAGCTGCCGCCTGTGGCCACTTGGCAGTAGTGCGTTGCTTGCTAGAAGCTGGCGCCGAGAGAGACAAGGTTTGCAGTGACGGCCATTCGCCTATGCATCTTGCGGCCCATTTTGGTCACCTGGAAGTTGTGAGTTGCTTACTGAACGCCAAGGCTCACCGAGACAAGGCCAACCGTGTCGGGCGTACGGCATTGCACGTTGCGGCGCTGGGCGGTCGTCTGGAAATGGTGCGTTGCTTGCTTGAGGCATGCGCTGAGAAAGACAAGACCGACAACGTCGGGCGCACAGCTTTGCACTTTGCGGCCACCAGTGGCCGTTTGGACACCGCGCGTTGCTTGCTGGTAGCTGGTGCTGACAAAAACAAGGCCTGCATCGAAGGCCAAGCACCTCTGCATGTTGCCGCAAAGTTCGGTCACTTGGAGCTTGCGCGCTGTCTGCTGCACTTCGGCGCAACCATTGACACACCTGACATGGAGGGACGCACGGCCCTGCAGGTTGCAGTGCAGTTTGGCCAGCATGCAGTCGTTCGTTGCTTGGCAGAAGCCCACGACAAAGCTGAGAATGATGAAGATGATCCACAGCACGAGAAACGGAGGCGAACGGATTAGTCTGGAGAATTCGTCCGTGTGCACCAGGGCAAGTGTCCTCGCTGAAACACTTTGCCCCTAGCGTGTTGCTTCCTTCCTGAGAATGGAATACTGTTAGCATTGCCTGAGTATAAGCCGGTTCAGGCAATGCTTTCAACAGCCTAGGCTCAGTCGGGGTGTCATAATAGGGAACAACCAAAAGTTGTTTGTTCTTTTGGTTTCCCTTTAAGCAGGCCGTAAAAAGGGCGCGCACACACACAGAGTCTCTTGAGACTGAGCTCAGCACGGCAATGGCTTTGAAAAGCGCGCGTCCTTGTTGCGTTGTGTACTGACATGCTTCCTATAGCGACCACAGGTTAGTTCCTCACAAACTGAAAGCCATAGGGTCTTTGCCCACATAAGCTCTGGGGTGGTGTGGGGCAGCTTTCAGGGAGGGTTGTGGGGGGTTCCGAGGCTGTTGGGGATACAAGTGGGTGGGTGGATCCCGTTGTCGCTCACTCGAAAATGCAGCCACCAGTTGTCTGAAGGGTTTGCTCCCAACAAATAGGGGGCCCGTGGCATGATGGAACCAATAGTATGGCTTGCGGCCGCTACATGTTGGTCGAAGCAACCACAAACCATAGTCTACCCAAGATCCCATCAGAGAGGTCAGCCAAACACCCTTCGGGGAAGTTCACTTTTCGGAGGTCGCCACTAGGTGGCCTATAGCAACCCAGGTATTCCAGACACGCGACACTAACAAGAGACAAATTGTTTTGCATCCAAGTCTCAATTGTTCAGTGGCGCCGTTTTTCCACTTTTTTTGGTGGCTGCCCCAATAAAGATGGTCTTCCCAAAAAAAGGTTCCCTTTTTTCCAGGGTCACTGAACAACTGAGAAGTTGTTCGGATGATTTTGACTTACATCAGCCGTTGATTTTCTCTTGTTCGGCATGTGTCAGACTAGAATCTTGATTGATTTCGGTGTTCTGCGACGGCACGTTTCGCCCCCCCAAATGACGCGCGCGCGAAGGGTCAGAGCGAGTCGTGAGGTGAACCTCTCGGTGGCAGTGCTGCCGATCCAGGATCGCTTTAGCTTCACGGAGGCTCCCAGGGACTAGCATCCTTACCGTGACTGTGTCTCTTGGTGGTTGGTGGCTTCCCTCTCACCTACCACTTGGGGGGTGACGTTGAGAATGCTAAAAGAAAGGGGCAAGACGGAAAAAACTGGTTGGGGGGAGCGCAAGACTTGGGACGTCGCTAGGGGATGGGACCCAAGACGGCCGGGTGTCCTTCCGTCCGATTTCAATCCAGCCAGAAAATGGTAGCCAAAAAAAAACAACATCCACCTGTACGGGACGGGGTTTCCTTGCGTCCCTTTCCAACCAACCATAGAAACTGTAGCCTCGAAAAAGACGAGTCACCCATGTAGATGGGTCAAAGGGAGTTGACTTGCTTTGGAAACTGTCTGTGAACAGAGCTGCTGCCGAGGTCACTTTAGGCCCTTTGCCGAGTTGCAAGGTGTTGGAGGCAAACGCCCACGCCAATTCAATCGCCTGCCGCCCAACTAAGACCAGGGACCTCGCATGGGAGCAACGCGGCCTGAGGGGCATTGGCACAAAAAACATGGGCCATGTGTGGCATTTTGTGCAAGGGGTACTCCCGTTTGATTCGAGAGGCTTCGCTGAGGACGCCATTGGGTTCTGGACACTGGCCGTGCGCCGCCTCTGGTTTGGGCTGTGAAGCGAGCTCTGCAGGACGACAGCCTACCCGGTACCCCCCTTCTTCAAAAAGCGTTTCAACGGACCAGGGTCCTTGGACTCCCTTTTCAAAAGAGGAGTCTCCTGTAATTATACATGGTGCAATGGTTGGGATTGGACGTTTTCTCGGCTGTCTTTTACATATATATATATATATATATTATATATGTGCACAATACACTATTTTCGTTTGTATATTATATGATGTGTATAGATGCATGTCTTGTATGTATATATACCCAGAGGGTCCACATACCCATTCAGTCCGCCCACTCCAGCACGTGGCTTGGAGAGGCGGAGGTGGGCTTTGCTTCGAGCAGCTTCTTCTGGGGCTACATGTTGACTCAGCTGCCCGGGGCTGCCCTGATTCAGAGCATGTACCTTGGAGATCGGCTGATCGGGCCCGGGCAGTCCCGTCCTCGCTCGTCTTTGGTTGTCGTTTCCCCCGTTTGGTTTGCTTTTTGGATGTGCGGACACAGAGATCTCAGGATGTGAGGTGTCGGGTGTTCTTGTTTGTCTCTGGTTTGTTTGGGCAGCTGTCGGACAGCTCGGGTCTTGATGTAGCATGTCTTGATGTAGCATGTTCGAGCGTTGCTGATGGGAAGATCATTTTGAATCAGGAATAGGCGTGTTGGGTGCTTAGATTCAAATCCCCCTTTTTCCAGACTCAGTTGCAGACCTTGTTTTTTGCAGGGAAATTGTGCGGGGGCTCCCTGCGTTTCTGTTTGCTCTTTTTTTGCAGGTGATTCCGTAGGGGTGTGTCTAAACAGCTGGTACTTGCTTGCGCTTAGCATCGACCCCGAATTAGCAAACCTGTGGAATGAAGAGGAAGGAGCGCTACTTCCCCAAAACGCTGAAGGATGTTTATTTTGGTCAACTAGGGGTTCAATCATCCAACCAACAGGTTCCGATAAAGCTTGTGCCCAATGGCTATCAAGTGAAAAACGCCGGGCTGCCTATGGTAGTACAGGGGGTGATAATCCTGCGAACGGCGACTTATTGGGTATATAGTTAAACATACACCCATACTATGGGTGTTTGCTTTCCTTTTCTAGGATTTGCCCCCCCCCCCCCCCCCGTTTTCCCGGTGGTTTCCCTTTGGATATTCGGAAAGGAGTACCCACGCCTGGGTTTGTAGCCCCAGGGCAGACAGCGGCGTTTTAACTTGTTGGTTCCGATCCAAAAGCAACACTTCGGGCTCGCGAGCCTCACTTCTTGGACTCTTGGACCCCCCCCTGGTTGGCGGGCTTAAAAAGGGGGGTGTTCACATTTGGCCCTAAAAATGGGGGGGGAGGGTGTGATTCCCTTAGTTTCCCTTTGCCTGGCAAGGGGGTCCATGTTTGGGAGACTCCCCATATGTTTTTTTTTTTTTTTTTTAACGACCCTTTAACACCAAAAGCATCCAAAAGGAGGTTCCCAAAAACACCACGAAGCCACCCGGCACCCATCAGGGCCAGATTTTTTCTTCAGGGTTCCCCCTGCTAAAAAAAACAAAAAAAAACATGGCGGCTTTCTTTTCGGTTTCCCTTTAAAACCACACCACCAATCGGTCCCAGCCCCAAAACAAAACGACGAGCCGCCCAGCCCCCGCGATGTGACGCACGGCGCCCGACCTCTCCACCTGACACCTCGATTTCTCGACTCGCTCGAGACTTCTCGAGGCCTGGGGGCGCCTTCACCGTGCTGGGCCTCGGGGTCCTGGTGCAGTCCGTGGGCACCGTGGGCACCGCGGCCATGCAGTACCTCACCGAGCCCCAGGCGCGCGAGCGCGCGAGAGCGCGCGAGGAGCGAGAGAAGAAAAAAGGCGCGACCCGTGGGCATGAACAATGAAGAGAACGATGAGGACCCCATGTTCATCAACCAGCCAGCTTACGAATAGGGGGTGTTGCTCTCCAAAAAGTGGTATGATTCCCCAGTAAACCTAGAAATGGACATTGATAAACTCCATATGGTTATGGGTCAAAATTAGTCACGGACCGCAGGTTTTGGTCCATGTGTTTCCATTTGCCAGCGCAAGCCATTTTGGGTAAGTATTTTTGGCCTACAGCCATAATGTGAATCAACCAGCCAGTTTATGAATAGGGGGGTGGTTTTGGCGGCTCCGAAAAGTGGCCTGATTCCCCAACCCAGAAATGGACACCGCCCTGTTGATAAACTGGGGTTGGGGAATATGGGATCAACATTGTGTGTTTGTTATTTTGCCTTTGTTGGTTTTAAGAGGGATCTCGCACTTTGTGAAAATATGTTCAAATTTGTTCCAGGCGAAGAAGCAAAGAGGCGGGATGAATTTCGCAGACTTGCTCGTCAACTTGTGTTTGTTCCAACACCCAAACCCAGCCGGTCAAAGGTGGGCTGGTGATGAAAATAAGCAACGGCTTTGTTTTCGAGCAGTTTCTCAGTTCCCAGTGCTTGATTTCACGAGTCGCGCACGTTGCAATATGGTGTCGCTTATGAAGGTTCTCTGTCAGGGCCAGATTTACAATGTTTTACATGTTATGACCAACGGTCTCACAATGTCCACAATGTCACGCGCATTGCCTTAGTGGGGCGTCCTTTCTGTCACCTCCATTTGGCCTCAATCTACTGTCCATGATAAACAAAATCGGACGAACACAAGGCAGGTTTTGGTTTGGGTCAACAGCTAGGTCCCCCAGTAATCCCCTTGTACCCTTTTTTTGGGTTCCCCTACTGAAATATACCAAAAAAAACAACGGTACCAACTTATTCTGACCTCCAAAAACCGGACCTAGACAAGGAGATCTCCCAAACGTGGGTTGCTTTAAACACGACGCCCCCCGCCCTCGGCTCGGCCCAGTCGGCGCTGTGGCTGCTGTGTGTCAGCCGCGCGCTGGTGGGCCTTGGAGAAGGCAACCGAAACCGGGGAGGGTTTCGTGTTCCTAGCTGATCTAATCGGGCGCCTAGGGCTGTATAAACACTTCGGTTGATCAACAGGTTTGTGATACGTGGGATGATCATTGGTTGGAAAGGCTCATACTGTGGATGGTTGCGAAATCCATTTCGCACCACCCAAGAAACCATGGTTGAAACCACTGTTTGTTGGTATTTACAGGAATCAGACCATTCAGGGCTTCTTGGGTGGTGCGAAATGGATTTTGTCCATCCACAGCAGGGCTGTATAAACATATATGGGGTTGATCAACAGGTCCGTGATACGTGGGATGACCATTGGTTGGAAAACTACCAGAAACGGATTTGAGATGTCCCACTCTTCGGGAAAAGCTACCCATGGTCAGGAATATTGATCAGCCCCCAAACAACTATATATAGTAGAAAACAATAGTCAATGGGTGTTGGTCGCTGCCAAGTGTTTTGTTCTAAAAAGGGGCTGAGAGACTATGTGCCTGCAGCTTAAGTTATCTTCAAGTTCGGCTTGGTTTTGAAATTATGTGGCTAGACGTGCTCATTGGTGTGTGATTTATGGAGCATATTCCTGGCAGGCCTGGACAGAGGGGTCCCTACAAGGAGGTTCTTCAAAAACTTCAAAGGGATTTCGGCAAGCGCCAGTTTGTCTGACGCCCAGCACGCCCTCAGGGCACCTCCCAACAAAAAACGGGTGTGCCTGGAGGGACAAGTTCCGTGTGAATCAGGAGGTTCATCAGACCGCGAGTTTCTGGCTTTGGGGCCCCACCTCTGGCCAGCTTGAGGTGTGTGCCTGATACAAGCAGCTCCAACATCTCCGGGTGTTTTTTGTGGTTTCCCTTTACTCGCCAAAGACAGGATCAGAGGTTTGGGGTTGGAGCCCGCAAGATGTGGGGAGTGCTCGACATGTTTCAGTTGGGAAAAGGGGTACCTTCGCAAATGGAACAAGCCGAGAAGATGCCCTAAGCAGCCTCCCTCGACCAAGACATGGCACGCTCTCAAAATGAGAAACAACAAGTGTTGATATCCCCTCGCAAAAGGACAGTGGCCACAAAGACTATGAAAAAAATAATACCCTCGCAAAAAGGGAAGTGGCAAAAGGCAGGCACACATCGTCAAGAGCAACAACAAATGGCAAACACCAAGTGCAACATAGCACACATCAAGGGGAGGTGGCAAAATCCAACAGAACATCGCAACAAACAACAGCAACACGTGGCACAACAAACAGGCCAAAATTGGCAAAGGCCAACAATAGAATGGGGAGAGAAAACGCACAGCCAAGTAAAAGCCCAGCAACACTGACCACTGTCCAACCCCAAACCTCCAACCAAACCTCAAAGACAAAAATGGCCAAGATATGAAGCCAACCAAAGCTCCAACCAAACCTCCAACCAAACCTCCAATACAAAAACGGGCAAAACATGAAGCCAACCAAACCTGCAACCAAACCTCCAAGACAAAACATGCAAAAACCTGGGTACCGTCGAGAGAAACAAGGCCTGCCACGCGACCTCCAACCTCCAATACGAAAATGGCAACATTTTGGTACCACCGGGAAAAACAACAAAACACACACACACAAAAAAAACAAAGAGGGGAAAAACCAAAAAAACCAAAAACATTGAAAAACAGGGAAGAAACACTGGAAAAAAAGAAGAAACAAAAAAGAAGAAAAAAAACACCCGCCGCGCACTGCTTGGTAGGTCTGGGTGTCCCGGCGGTGGGGGCCTCCCTGGGCACCTTGCCGGACTCCCGGCGCTCCTCCGGCACCAGCCTGGCAGCGCGGCAGTCGAGTCGCAGGGGTAGGGTGGGGAAACCAGCCAACCAACCGAAGGGTAGATGTGGGAAGTCCTTTTTTTCGGGAGGGGGGTCCTTCTTTCTTCTTTTTTTTTTTTGAGGGGGGGGGGGTCCTTCTCTTTTTTTTTTTTCTTTTTGGGGGGGGGGGTCCTTCTCTTCTTTTTTCTTTTTTTTTGGAGGGGGGCTCCTTCTTTTTTTTTTTTGGGGGGGGGGTCAATTTTGGTTGCTAAGTTCAGATGTGGATCTCCTTCTTGTTTTTTTTCCTTTTTTTGGGGGGGGTCCAATTTTTGTTGTTAAGGTTAGGTGCGGAAGTCCTTTTTCTTTCTTCTTTTTGTGGGGGGGGGGGTCCAATTTTGTTGTTACGGTTGGATGTGGAAGCTTTTTTTCTTGGAGGGGGGAGGGGTCCAATTTTGGCCAATTTTGTTGTTAAGGTTCGGTGTGGAAGTTTTTTGCTGGGGGGGGGGTCCAATTTTGGTTGTTGGTTGTTTTGGCAGCGCGAAAAGGGGAAACCAACCAACAAACCGAAGGCTGGATGTGGAAGTCCTTTTTTTTTCTTTTCTTTGTTCCTGGGGGGTTTTGGTTAGTGTTTTTTTTTTTTGGGGGGGGGTCCAATTTTGTTGTTGAGGTTAGACGTTAAGGATAGACGCCGCACTGCTGCTTTCGTGCGGAAGATGGTTTGCCAGCACGCAAGCGCCAGGGTCCGGAGTTGGAAACCATCGGGCTACAGAAGGTTCACGGAAAAATATGCCGAACAGCAGCTGGTAGACACACACAAATCCATGGGTTTTCAGGCACCGCACGTTTGTCTTTTGCATGCATGTGGAGTCTTCACCCATCTGTGTTTCTCTTCCATTTTTCGCTATGTTTGATCAAACAAAGCTGGCTTGAGCAGTTTGTCACCCACCCAGTGGGGCCATTTACCTGTATAGTAGGGAACCAAGGGCTTGCCACCCCTTAAGAACCAAAAGGAAAACAGCGACGGGTTGCCTACTCTAAGGGGGAAACGCCCGTGATCCACTGGGAGCAGCTTTCCACAAGGGCAGATCCGTATGCTCCAAGGTATACGCCGGGTCCACCACAGGCCAGATCCGAGGGAAGTGGTGGGCTTAGCGCGCTCACGGATTTGGGGCGTCCTTGGGTATTTTGTCTTAGAAAACTTATTTATTGGCGCACCACCCATTTTGTTGAGACCCAGCTGAGCCCACTTTCCTTACTCGCGCTTGTTTGGAGAAGACCCCCAAACAACTTGAACCGTGCACTGTCGATAGAGTGGCCGTGAGACAATGGGCCGCTTCTCATCTCGTCCTGCCGAGACAAGACATGCCAGCTTCGCCTGAAGATGGCAGAGTTCTGGATCCTCACTTCCCGAGCTCATGGACTCTAAGTTTATTGTTCTTCTTTTTTTTGTTTTTCTCGGAAGACGATTTCAGTGGTAAACAAAGAGTTTGAACTTGCTTTGGCCAGTTCACCTTAGGAAGTGAGGATCTCATGAGGTTGACGAGCTACCTTACCTGGAAGATTCTTGAAGTGCACTGTGCGGATGCGCAGACTGGATGCCGTGAAGGTTCGATTTCTTTGTGTTTCCCATCTCCAGGGCATTGATGGAGTTGTTCCACCCGTGTGCTGCTTCGGCTTCCTTCCTCGTACTTCTCATCGTTGCGTCGAGTTGCGTGTTCGCCGTGTTGGTCAAGGAGAATATTGGCACATGGCCTCCTGCTACCTTGCGAAAAGTGGCTCGTAAACTGCGCTTCTGGACTGGCTGCAGGTCGTTCAATCCTGAATCCTTCCAGGTGGTAGCTCAGGGGTTCCTCCATTTAAGGGTTACCTCTAGAAGTGGCGATCGTTTCAATGGAAACCATAAGTAAATTGTAACTGAAGGGGAAATCCGGTGACCCCTTTAGTTGGTTCCCTTGCAGGCCATGCCCCGTTTCACCCTGGAGTAATCAGCAAGAACCGTAGTTGATGAATAGGGGGGTGTTGCCTTTTAGCGGGGCTTCAGCACCTTTGGAGAAAAACACTCCCGTATGAATAAACCAGGGGATTTTTACTATTCCGAGGTCGACATTGCAAAAGCCCAGTTTGAAAATTTCAGTGTGTGTCACTGTGTGTCTGTCCACCCGGGATGTCAGCACAGTTGCTTGTCTGACAGGAAAAACATTGTGACACACAGGTATTCTTCAGCATTTTTGGAGGAAAAGAAACCACAACCCTGTTCACCCCCCTGTTAGAATACACACAGGTATTTGGGGCTTTAGCACCTTCGGAAATAAACCAGTGGATTTTTATCCTTCCGAGGTCGACATTTCAAAGGCTTCCTATGAGTCACACTTTGAAACGCCCAGCTTGCGGCGAATTTTGCAGGCGTCGGCCTGGGCCTTTTGCTGTGCCCATTCCTCATTGAGCCTCTTGGCCAGTGGTTCCCAGCGGGAAGCCGGGTGGCTCGTCTCTTCTTTTTCTTTCCGGGGGACTCCCCAACTAAAATATATGTTTTGTCCTTTTGGTTTCTCTTCAGAGCCACAAACAAGGGGTACCCACAATGGTTCTTCTGTTCGTTCATTTCGTTTGCTGCGTATGTTTCGGCTTTGTCTCTAAGTGGAATTTGCCATCATGGCTGCATAATTCAGGCATTGAGATCGTGCTTTCGTGAAGTTTGCGAGACTCGGAGTTGAAGCAACCGCCAAAGCTTCTGGGTTGCTGAGACGTGGTTAAGCGAGCATCCATTCGACTCATGTATGGCCTCAAAGTCTATGCGTAGCGTGTCTGAGGAACATCATGATTTGCAGTTTCTCATACTTAGGTCAAACGATTCACCAGGTGGGGATGCACACAAGGTATTGAGAGACACCCCCCAATTCTCTTCGCAAGCTATGCGCATCACCTGCCCTGATGTCGACCTGTTCTTTTGCTACAGACCCAGCAGGTCAACCAGCAGGCCAAGCGCGCAAGGACTTCCATCCCTTGCTTTCCTGTGTGTCACTGCCAGCACTTTGCGCCGCGCACCACCACATCCAGCCTTTGCGCCATGCCACATGACCTGTTTGGTCGCACATCAAGCCCACCCAGTCGACCATTTGAGCTTGTGAACATAGGACTTGGCTTGAACCCAACCTACCAGGTGCCTGAAAAACGCTGAAACGGCACACCCCACGTTGCTGCCGCGGAAAAAGAAGAAGAACACCTCCGCCCAAAAAGAACGGACTGCGATGCCTTGAAGCTCGCTGCTTCTTGGTCCTCAGTGGTCGGGTCCTTGACCCAAGTGACAGGATTCCATCAGCTTAAGATGGGGGGCTCCTCCTAGTTGCTGTCCGTTTTTTTGTGGATTGAAACGGACACCAAGACAAAAACCATCTTGAGGCAACGGAGGGATATGTTGCTTGCTCGTCGGAAGCCGCAGGGTTGCTGACAGCTCGCTACACGGTCTCAAGTGCAACAGGCTGTGATTTTGTTGATGCACAGGCGATGTGACAAGCCGGTTTACAACACATTGCAGTCAATGCAATCAGCAATGTGGGCCGATTTTTTGGTGGAATCTCGCAGCCAGTGAGAAATAGCGTACACACCTGTGGCTTTACAGGCTTTACAGGAAGTGGACAAGGGGGCTGTTCAAGAGGCGGGTCGTCTTCCAAACCCCTCCTGTCCTCTTCCATGTTAGTGGGAGGGTACGTACCACGCTTCTTTCCTACCGTGTTTCGTGCTCAGTCAATTCGGCTGGCCCTTCGTCTTCTGGGCCTTTGCAGCAGCCGGTGACGTGGCGAAAGGTGGCGCAAATGTCATCCGGACAGCGCTAATCCCGGGCGGTTCCCTTGTAATCACTGGGAAACAATTCGACTTTCGGGATTCATTTAATGAGTATGGAAGACACTCTTGATGAATCCGAAGTTGAAATTGGAATGGACTAGACCTGTTTTGGCAGTATGAAGTTTGGTTTGTCTGCATTGCTCAGAGCTGTTAGCAAGGTGGTGAGACGGGTTGCCTTGAAAACGGGTTGAGTTTCTTCGGTCGAGAAACCTAGACTGGACCCAGTAATACCTTGTTGTTGTCCCTTTTCCGGAGGGGGCTTCCCTAAATGAAGTGAACACGAAGAAGCACATGCCCATTTAATTCCCGTGGCCAAGGGTCCGGTGAGGCCGTGCAAGACCCAATTCACTTCGAAGCAAACCGGGTGCCGAGTGTTTTGCCTTAAGTTTTGTGGGGCTACTCCCCACAACTTGAAGCCATCTCAACCTCAATATCGATTTTTTGTCTTGTCGAGTGCCAGTTGACCACAGCCACATCAGCATTTCGGGTGCGGCCAAAGTCGAATTTTGTGTGTGTGTCTGTCTGTCTGTCTGTCTGTCTGTCTGTCTGTCTGTCTGTCTGTCTGTCTGTCTGTCTGTCTGTCTGTCTGTCTGTCTGTCTGTCTGTCTGTCTGTCTGTCTGTCTGTCTGTCTGTCTGTCTGTCTGTCTGTCTGTCTGTCTGTCTGTCTGTCTGTCTGTCTGTCTGTCTGTCTGTCTGTCTGTCTGTCTGTCTGTCTGTCTGTCTGTCTGTCTGTCTGTCTGTCTGTCTGTCTGTCTGTCTGTCTGTCTGTCTGTCTGTCTGTCTGTCTGTCTGTCTGTCTGTCTGTCTGTCTGTCTGTCTGTCTGTCTGTCTGTCTGTCTGTCTGTCTGTCTGTCTGTCTGTCTGTCTGTCTGTCTGTCTGTCTGTCTGTCTGTGTGTGTCTGTGTGTGTCTGTGTGTGTCTGTGTCTGTCTGTCTGTCTGTGTGTGTCTGTGTGTCTGTGTCTGTGTGTGTGTCTGTGTGTGTCTGTGTGTGTCTGTGTGTGTGTCTGTGTGTGTCTGTGTGTGTCTGTGTGTGTGTGTGTCTGTGTGTGTCTGTGTGTGTCTGTGTGTGTCTGTGTGTGTGTGTCTGTGTGTGTGTGTGTCTGTGTGTGTCTGTGTGTGTGTGTCTGTGTGTGTCTGTGTGTGTGTGTGTCTGTGTGTGTGTGTGTGTCTGTGTGTGTGTGTGTGTCTGTGTGTGTCTGTGTGTGTCTGTGTGTGTCTGTGTGTGTGTGGCGCTTTTTTTTCCCACGGCGCGGTCCGTCTCAGGCATGAGGGAAAGGCCCCTTCAAAGGCATGCCGGCCAAGCCTTGGCCAACACATGCCGGCCACGGCTCTTGGCTCTGCCCAAGCTGTTGAAATCCACAGGTCCTGTGTCCAATGTCCAAGCCACTCCTTAGCATGTTCTCCGGGTGTGCGCTTCTCTGAACTTGTGATCAAGCATGTGGTGAAGCTACGCAGGCCGTCTGATCTGAGGAGGGCTGATATGGGCTGGTTGTGTCCATTTGTTGGAGTAGTCCGCGATTGTGATTGTTTGTGGATCAGTGACTTGCACAATTTTGAGGGATCATGCTAAGCCAGTAGGCAATGTGACGGCACACCTTCTGCACCGGTCGGCGTTTGAGTCGGCAGCAGACCAGCGAATAAACTGATCCTCACGGATTCTCTTGGGGTTTCTCATAAGCCGGTATCTGAAAATCAGCATGTCACCAGGAAGTCCTGTTTAGAATGGAATCTCCAGTTTGTTTTTGGGAGTCCTTCTGATGTGGGGAAGAACTGGTAGCTTTGCCCAGAGATGCGAATAAACTTCGGCCCAGGTCTGGTCTGGACGGCCTGGTGGGCGATGATTTGCCCACAGCTGGGCTATCGGGAAGTCAGCAAAGAAGGACGCGATGGCTGTCCTAGAGATTCATCACCTAGGTGTTTCCAAAAATTGGTGGCTCCTTGAACAGAGCTCCTTAAAAGATACATTTTGCCCATTTGAAACATGGCTTTTTCCATCAAAATAAAGGGAAACCACCATTGACAAGGCAATGTTCAGGTGTATAATGTAAGGATCCCTGTTGAAGAGTCGTGTTTTGCTTTTTGTTTGCTTAGCTTCAAACCTTGACCATGAAGGGCTCCCAAGAGAAACCTCTACATTCGTCTTAGACACGAGATATACGGCACGGCCTATGCCAAGGTCAGGCTCCAGGCTCTGCCCTCCAAGTGAGCTCGTCCACTTTGCACCTGGAGTGCGGAACTTGAAGCGGTTAAGGGGCCAAGCGAATGACACTATGAATCCCCAGGGAGAGTTTGAGGCCAGCTTTACTGCACCGGAAAGGCGTCACCAGGAACGTCCTTCCTTGAAGCAAAGAAAACCTGGACCGGTGAGTCTCGAGCAAGCTTCTGGCTGGCTTTGCACCACCGCATCGGTTGATCGGGCGGGCAGTGGGCCCAAGCTATACTGGACCGTGGTCGAGTCATTTGCGTTTTAATTTCCATCCACTTTGTTGCCCACTGGCGGCTCAGAGTTTGCCACCCACATATGCAGCAAGAACCGCATTTTGACCCTTGTGAGGGATGCACTGGAGCCCCAAACAAGCCACCTTGCGTGGAGTGTTTGCTTGCGCGGCACATGTGGAGGCTTTGCTACTCCACCAGCTTACGCCACCCATGCCCTATTTTGACTACTCAACATGCCGGCTTTTGGCCTTTTGTGGCCGTTCGTCATGATTGCTTACGAGTGTAAAGTAGGACCTTCTTGCCTCAGTGCCACCTCCCGCAAGCGTGAGCAAAACAAGGAAGAAACAAATGCGAAGATGTGAGTTTACTAGCTCGTGGGGGGAGTGTTGGCTAAAGCCTGAAATGTATTAGGATACCTGGAGTTTGACCATGGCTATGTTTTTGTAGGGGAACACGCTTGAGAATGGTTAGTGCACATGCATCCCCATGTAAATGATACCCACCTCCAGGGTCTTCAGGTAAGTTCATACCTGGGTGTGTCGTTTTCAGGTTGTTCTTGGGCTAGGCGGCTAGGGAAGCCCACCCACTCGGTTTCATCTTGCTGGTGCTCAGCAGGGACTGAGAAACTTTATGAACCCGAAAAAAACACCGTCCAACTGGTGGTTTCCTTTAATTTAAGGGCACCCGACCCAAACCGGTGCATTCCCGACACCCGGACTCGTTGTCATTCCCTACATGTATCGCACAACCATCCAACTGGTGGTTGCCTTTAAGGGGACCCTCTAAACGGGTTCATTCCCAACACCCGACTTGTTGTCAATCCCTACATCCATCGCATAAACCATCCGTCTGGTGGTTTCGTTGGAGTTGTCATCCTACCGAAACCGCACCGGACGTCCCTTTGGAGGAGCTGTGCCTTGGCGGGAGATGCTGCAAAACCCCAACGTTTGGCCGGTGATTGCCTGCCACGCCATGAGCAGCTCGGCGCCTGCGATCCGCAGCTCCCATTGGCGCCCTCTATTGAGCTGGTTGGGTGACCTCTAGGGCGAAGTGCCTGGGATCTGGGGGCCAAAAAGGGGGCCAAAAGGGTAAGTGAGCCACGTGCTCAAATCCCGGGTAAGTGAAGGTTAGTAAGGGACGATCCCAGCCATAAATTTGTTGCGGACCTCCACCTTCTTAGTTCTTTGTATGGTTCTGGGGCGACCATTTTTGTTCCGGGTTTTGATTGTGACTCAAATCGCATATTGTTGTTTCTTTATTTATTTTTTCTTGTTTTCCGGTTTTCAGGGTTTAGTCCGGGGCTGCTGTTTAATTTAAGTTAAGTCACTAGAAGTGGGGATCTGAGGACTGCCCAGTTGCCTATGAGCTAGATGTGAATGCCTGCTGGACTCATTTTGAAGGCAGGGGTGTGCTCTGGCACATGGCTCTGGACCTCAAGCAGTCCCGTGGTGCTGTATGTGTTGTGTCTTCCCAACAGAACGCTCGCGCACCAGGTTTGAGCAGGGTATGTTTTGCAGTCGACGTTCAGAAGAGTGTCTGCGGGATTAGCAAAAGAAGAATCAGGGTGTTTGGCCTTGTGAACCCTTTCGCAACCACATGTGTTCCGGCAAATAGCGAGTGCTTCTGGTTTTCCAGCCTGGCAAGTGAGCACTGAGTTTAGTTTGCAGGAAGTCTGTGCCTCGTATCGTACAGGACTGTGGACTCTTTGTTTGTTCCATTGGAACAGCTAAGGTCTTGGAAACAATTGGCCTGTCCTGTCCACATGTTTTGCAGAACGAAGGCTTTCTTCAACTTTTTTTTGATTTTGCGTGCGCTCAATTTGATTTCAGGATGTGCAAGTTGTACGCTTGGATGTTTGCATGTGGCCATGGAACTAAGGTGATGAGGGCTCATGCACGGAACGGGCTAGAGTACATGCAAACGCAACTTAGGCAATCCTGCGTGTCGGTCTTGTTTCCAACGCGCCCAGGCAACATCGCGTTCTATTCGCTCTTGACATGGATGCCCTCTTTCTTCAGCCGAGGTGGGAAGGGCAAGAGGTGTGGGCAGGACACGATTTGGCCCCGGCACTTTTGTGGCAACCATGAAGTCACCCTCCCACAAATCAACATGGAACCTGACAGGGTCCTGGAAGACCATTTTCCTTTCAAAGGGACCCCCTGTCAGGTTCCATGTTAATGGGTGAGAGAGTAAATTGACCATTCCCCAAGGGCAAGTAATTAATTACCATCTCAGGTGTTGCAATTTCTTCAGGGGCTTGAGTAAAGGTGGCTTGTTCGGGCGGGGGAAGGTTGAAGCCACGTGAACGCACACGTTTTGCATTTCACTGGTGCGCATTTCTTTGGAAAGAGGTCCTCGTGAAGAATTTGATCGGTCAGTTTGGGGTTTTACATCCGTTGCATCCGCAGTGTGGCTGTTCAAGCGTGAAAATGTGCGAGCAGCGCACTTGGACGGTTTGTTGTTTCCTCTTGGGCCCCAAACCGGTAACCCTTGAATCTATAGGTTATCAGCCGTAGGCCCCTAGCTCTAAGCAATGGACGGTTCCCTTGTGCCAGTTGATGGATCCAGCATGCCTGTGGATGCTGCCGGAGCTAGCTCCGGCAACGCCACCGGCGGCGGTGTGCGAATGTTCGCATCAAGCGCTAATGCGCAATACAACCGCACCCTGATGAATTCCCTTCAACTGTACAATACCGCAATCTTTGCTTTTGGGAATGATGCAGCCATTAGGTCTGAAGCCGAAGCCCTGCATCAAGCAGCTGTAACGCATTTGCAAGCGGAAAACCGTGAGGAGCTCCGTGCCGCACAAAATCAGCTGCATGCACACTACGCTGAATGTGTGCAAGCCCAGTCGCATAGGATTCGTGAATACGAACAGCGAGTGAGCGATGAGTTCATGCAAGAAGTGAACTTCGCTGAAGCTAGGATAAGCCAAGTGTGTGAGGAAAATGCCCAAGCATTGCATGAAGCGGAAATGGGACGCAAAACAACTGAGTTTAGGCAAGCCATCGAATCCACCCTGGCTGAAGCCCAGCAGCTCCTCCATGAGCAAGCTGCCAAGCATGCCGATGACACAGCCCGTGTCGAGGCTACACACGCCAGAACGGTTGACATGATGGCACACCAAAACGGGCTTCTGCAGGACGAGCTTGATGAGCTGAAGAAGTATCAGAAGCAACACGACCTCCGCGAGGATGGATCGAAGCCCAAAGGGGTAGGTGATACCCGAGAGGATTCACCAGAGTTGATGACCGACGACATGAAGTCAGCTCGGTCCCAAAGGTCAATGTTGGACCCGTTGACCCATCCGTTTCAATATGCAAAGGAAAAGTTGAGGTCGCTTGTTACCTATGACGGTTACGGGGATGAATATACCCCTAGCGTGATTCCAACTGCCGAATGCGAAGCACTGCCCGCAGATGCTCGCGATCCGCAAGGACCAGCTGAAAAGCCATCAGGTAGCAGCCGATCCCCGGTGAAAACAAGTGCACCGGTCCCACCCCTGCAATTCTCTCAGGGGCCAATGTCAACTGACCGCAAGCAGGGTGGTAAGCCTCCCGGCGGTCCGCCACCTGATGATGATGGCGATGGCGATGGTGATGAAGACGAAGGTGATGGCCTTGGGCCTAACCTCGGCCAAGAAGCATTCGCCAAAATGTTGATGAAGTTAGTAAAAGGCCACACGAACGATGAAAAGCCCAGAACCCGCGAAAGCGAGACGTTGCGATTCAAGGAGATGCCAACTCCTGAAACGTACCGTGAATGGAAAACATCGGTTCGTGAGGATGTCCGCGCCGCATCTGACCGTCCAGACGAGGCTTGGCCTTGGATCATGGAAGTCTGGTCTGATCGCGAGGACAAGAAGAAGCTGTTGGAGGAGCTCGGCGAACCGGGAAAATTCGTGACCCTAGACACGAAGATTCTCGCAGCGCTCACGCGTTCAGCGAAAGGCGATCTGGCTCAGCGAATCCTAACAGCAAAGGAAGAATGTGCCAAGGAGGGAAAGGCCATGAGAGGAAGGCAGGTCTTGTTTATGTTTGACCAATATTTCAAGACCAGTGAAGAAGCCGGAAACCTCTACTCCTTGGAGGACCTGTTGCGTGTCTCGCGACACGGCGAAGGAATCATCGATCTCAAGCGTTTCCTGAATGCTTGGGATTCCGTGATCGCCGGCATGAAAAGGCCGCCGGAAGAAAAGGTGTTGAAAGACATCTTGCTTCGCCAAGTGAGAAGCTGCCATCTGTTGCGGTACGACATCGACACATATGATCGTTGCCGTGACGATGATCCCAATAAATCGTACGATTTCCTAATGCGTTGCATGAGGGATCTAATCGAGAGGGATAGGCTTCGCGAGAACCGAGAGCGCGTGTCCAAGGTCAATGCCAGTAAAGCCCCGACGCCCAAGGCTGGTGCTGCCGCTCCTGAAAAGAGGGACCCCAAGAAAAAGAGCGCACCTAAGCCGAAGGACACCGAGGAGAAGTACTGTTTTGACTTCCAGAAGGGCTCGTGCACGAGGGGGGCAAACTGCCCTTACGCGCACCGCAAGGAGCCGCGAGGACGCTCCGCGACCCGCGGCAGGCCAAGTTCCCCCAAAGGCGGTAAAGGAGAGAAAGCACCGTGTTCTTTCTTTGCCCAAGGGAAGTGCACGAGAGGTGATAAATGCAAGTTTAGCCATGCCTCCACGGGCGGCAAATCTGCCGCCGCGGCATCGAGCAGCGAGGCCAATGCAAATCCTGCGGCTAAGAAGCGTGCAAATTCACCTAAGCCTAAGCCCAAGGCCAAAGCCGCTGCAGTCTGCACCAGGTACGCCATGTTCGCAAAGCCGATCAACCCAATTGGAGTGTCATTCGACACCAATGCTCATGTTCATGAAATCCCCGCCGAAGGCGATGGTTTCAAGCTTGAGTATGAGGAACGTCAGTACAATAGGATGTTTCCAAGTGCCAAGGACTGCCCCAGGCCGACCAAAGGGACTAACAAGGCAGCGCGCAAGGCCGCGAATCAGTTGAATGCCGTAGTCAAAGCCATGGAGTATGGAGCCCAGCCCGCTTGCGGTTTCATGTGCGATGTGGAATCTGATTCCATCTCAAGCCTATCGTGTGATGAGTGCCTGAGAGTTGCCATGCCGCCTCACGATGTTCGCAAGGATGTCGAAGCGCCAAGGGCAGCCACCCCTGCCCCAAAGGGAAAGGATGTGTGGCTCATTGATTCCGGTAGTGAGCAGGACCTCATCAGCAAGGCTGCACTGAGGAATGCGTCCAAGGCAATTCGAAAACAGGCCCCGCAGCCTATTCGCCTTGTGACTGCAAACGGAAACATCACTGCTTCCGAGATCGCCGACGTCAATGTCGATGCATTGTGCGAGCCTGCTCAGCCTTACATCCTCGAGAGTTCTCCCGCAGTGCTGTCGCTGGGTGTGAAGTGTCTGGATCAAGGATATTCCTTTCATTGGGAATCCGGGAAGGCACCAACCATGGTTCGCCCTGACGGTGCTCTGATCCAGCTCAAGGTTGACGGTCATGTGCCATACATGGACTCTAGTTGTGAAGCTGAGCCATCGTTGAGTGCAGTAGCAGCATCAAAGCCAGCGCCTGCGCCAGTTCATGACGAAGGCATCGACGAAGGTGATGATCCCGACGACGAAGTTGAGCGGTTTGTGAGATCCCGCAAAGAGCAAGATCTGGTTGCCGAAGCAGGTACCAAAGAGCACTTGTTTGCACACTATCCGAAGAATCCCTTTTGCCGCACTTGCCAACGTGCCAAGATGCTTGCCCCATATGCAAGATCGAAAGGCGGGCAGGGAAGGCTCGAGACGAAAGCGTTTGGAGATCACATCATTGCTGATCATGTGATTCTCAAGGCCAACATCGAGCAAGGCATAAAAGGTGAATGGTGTGCTCTTGTGATCAAGGACGTGCATACGCAGTTCAGGTACGTTTACCCGTCGACCAGCAAAAGCACGGAGCAATCCGTTGCAGGGATCCAGCATTTCATTTCCGGTAGGGATGAGGTTGAGGTTCTCTACACTGATAACTCCCGGGAATTGAAAGCCGCAATAGAGCAGTTGGGGTACCGTCATCAGACCTCCATTGAATATGTTGATTCTTCCAAATCTTTCGTGGAAAGGGAAATCAGACATCTGTTGGAGGGAGCACGTGCGAACCTTGTCCAGTCAGGGTTCCCACTGTCGATGTGGCCATTTGCCATCCAGCACAATGCAGTTGCGACCAACATCCTGCCACAGTTGAATGGAAATGATTCGCCATGGTACCTCAGGTTTAACAAGACCTTTGATGAAGCTGAGATACCTTTCGGAGCAAAGATACTGTTCTGGAACAACCCTGCACGAGCTGACAATCAGGCAGGCAAGACTTCGCCAACATCGAATGAAGGCGTGTTTCTCGGGTACCATATTCAGCCTGGGTTCGCATGGAAGGGTGAGTTCCTCGTTGCAAAACTAGAAGGGCTCGATTACCATATCGAACATGCGTCCCTCACGGTACAGCGAACTAAGCGCATTGAGCTTCCGACCGATGAGTTCATCTTCCCGATGAGGTTGTTGAAAGACCCTGCATCTCATCCACCTGTTGCCAATGCTAGGATACGAGATGATCCTGTGCCGTTGGAACGTGGGCAAGCCCACATCGAGGAACCCGCCGCATCGGAGAAATCCGAAGCGAAGACCAAGCCTGTCGTGCCCGACAAAGGCGGCGCATTCGACCCGAGCATAATGCCTGATGGGTCACCAGTACCTGATGGCTATGTGTGGGATGGGGTTCGGCTCGTCCGTAGGAAGGCCGGATCCAAAAGGCCTCCCGATATCCCGTCTGACATGTGGGTCATGCTCGGCAGCCAGGACCGAAAGGCCCTAACCCAGCAGTACGAAGATCAGCTCCGTGCAGATGCCAAGAAGGCAGTGCTTGAGACAGCAGTCTCTTCGGAGGCCAGATCCGAGCACCCCGAAGCCGCATCGAGTGCAAAGCCGACCAGCGCCGCCCGCGAGGGCGAGCCGACATTGCC